ATAGAGTATAGTAACCAGCACTGCATTCTGCTAGAATTTAACCCTTCCAGTGCTAGAGGTAGCCCAACACATTGTAAATTTGCATGTGCCTCTCTGGCACTCAGAGTTAAGTAGCAAAGGTCGTTGTCTTTATCTGGGCTAATTGGATTTCTTGGCTTCACGGCTTACTGGATATAACCTTCCTAAGGCGTGATCAAATATTGTTAAATTCAGGAGTCTAATACCCCTTTAATGTGGAAATTGTTGCTTAAACTGTTATCCTTGGTGCATGAAAACTCATTTGGCGCATACCTCCTATTGCAGGGGTACATGAGCAGTGAGGATTTGGTCCTCTTGCTGATGGGTAGGAAGAAGGGAGTACGAAGCCTTTTTACTAAAATTCAGCTTGAACCAAGAATATCCTCTGTAAATCTGGAAACGTTGTGTAATAAGATTGACTGACTTACTAGAGTAACCCCCACTGAACTAATTGTTAAGTAGAGCCCATTGTTTTTCTGGTGGTTGCAAATGATGGGAGAGCGACTGATGCATTCCTACTTTATATAAACTGATCCCGAGGTGACCCGGTGAGAAGTGAAGTCTAGATTTTGAAGATTGAAGCTGTATGTCCCGAATGGTTGTTCATATCTATCTTCCACACCCTCAGTCATGTGTGAGTTATTTTTGGGGGTAAGGCTGCTTGTAATTTCTATCAGAAAAATTTACATATGTATTTCAATATGCACCAACCTTAATAATCTATAATATAACCTCTCATGGGGCACCAGATGACTTAACTGACTGAAAAGAGCAGAGTGTATAATGTATACATTGTTATTATGGCTTGCTAGCAACTGTATAGGATTTCTTCAATCTGAAAGTGTGGCCTCTTGCCCACACACCTATCAGTTCTCTGCATACAGAAGCAGGTAGAGAATGAAAGGACCAGGAGAAACATTTACAGGTGTTCTGTTTTAGATCACCGCAGGCGGTGTGCAGATGCTGGTCTTTTCAGAGCCAGATACTCTGACATTAAAGCCAGGTGTGACACTGAGGAGGTGCTCCATCCTATAACTGGGAGAAACTCGTGTAACCCTCACACCTTGATGATGGCAGCCTCAATGCTGGAGAGGAGGGGAGTATCTAATAAAGTAGAACTTTTATGGTAAACAATGTCTTCATACTTTGAGATGTTTTACAAACTTGTCTTCAAAGTGGACCAAAGAATCAGCCTGTCAAAAGTATGCACGGATACAGCATTTTAATAACCAGAGTTTCATTCACAGGGACAATTTGTTTCTATGGGGGTCATTTCGGATGGAAATGGCTATGGAGTAGCAAACGATTTGCTGTATTCATTCCCTGTTACCATCAAGGTAAGACTTATTTATCTTTCATTCTAAAAGAGCAACTGACATTTCCTTTCCATATATTTTAAAGTGGTTTATCCTCCATATTTAACAAATGTTTTGTGAGGTCTGAATATAACCTTACATGTAGAATTCGCTGCATATTCCTCTATCCTGGAGCTGAATGTGTCCGTCTTGGCATCCTGTCAATCACTGTTATAATTCTGTCCTGTCCTTTTCCATCACTGAACAAAGTGGAGTTAAAATATTTTTCTTCTCCTTCCATTATGGCATGTAGCAACTGACCATCACAGCTGTGTTCAATTAAAAATCTGTTAAGTTTTTAGTATTGATTTAAAATAATGGGCAGACTAGATGGGCCGAATGGTTCTTATCTGCCGTCACATTCTATGTTTCTATAAAATGGAACCTAGCTTTAAGGAATATTGTAGGCACTGAATTGGTAATAATGCCTTGAGTCCCCTGTCTCTGTCCCATCATGCAGTATGAAACTTTTTTTCAAGCAGATAGTACCCACTTCCTTCTAGTCATATCAGTAGTTGCTTTAATAGGCTGAAAGCAGTTAGCCAATCGCAGCTGCCAATTAGGATAATGATTTTTTTCATTGGCCCAAGCAACACAGAGAGGATGGGCTGTTGGGACTCTAATGTAGAATTAAGATGTTAAAATTGGTTTAACACTGTAAGGATGGTGCCAGGGCACTCCAGGTACTGTAACCACTTAAATTCAATGAAGATAGTGTCCCTTTAAAGGGTTATTCAAAGCATCATCTTGACCACTAAAGTGCTTGGAAAAACCCATTATATCCACCTTCGGCAGCATCATTAATCTGTGTGTAACAAGTTCTGGGCGGCTAATGTCAATTCTGTGCATAAAAAGGTTTTTGTTTTGTTTTTGTTTATTTTTAAATGGAGGGGATAATAAATGCATACAGTTTTAAACCATGTTTTTCAGTTTAAAGGGACACTCCAGGCACCCAGACCAATTTTGCCCATTGGAGTGGTCTGGGTGCCAACTCCCACCACCCTTAACCCCACAAGTGTAATTATTGCAGTTTTTTATAAACTCCACCTCTAGTGGATGTCTACTAGACAGCCACTAGAGGGCACTTCCTGGTTCGTAGCACAGGAAACCTGTGAGGACATCCAGCGTTTCTAAAATCCCCATAGGAAAGCATTGAAAAGCATTTTCAATGCTTTCCTATGGGGAGCTCCAATGCGTATGCGCGGCATTGCAGCGCATGCACATTGGATCTCCCCAGTCTTGAAGGGGTTGTGGGGGGGGACCTGCAGTGCCAGGAAAACTGATATATTTTTTTAAAAAAAAATTTCTGGCACTGGAGTTTCCATTTAAAGGGACATTGTAGGCACCATTCAAACTCCTTAAATTGGACATTGTGGAGTCCTCTAGTGCTGGCTGTCCGTTCAGTGTTTAATCATTTGCACTGAATGAGGGTCCATGGCTGTCAATAGCTTGGTCCCCCACTGGAGGTATGGCTAAGACAGACATTTCTTCCATATCAATTCAAACCAGCAAGGTCAGCTGTGAAAGGCTGAAAGTGGTCTGCTGACGCTGTCCAAACAAGATGGTAAACAATCCCACCTCCACACCTTAATGAATATTTGTTAAATGTAGGGGATATAAATTGCTTAATCACAGTTTGCTTTCCTTCAAGGTATTGCTTCTTTTCACAGCCGCTCGGCGATGAACATTTTCTGAATGCAATTAGTTCAGGGACTTGAGAGATTTATCAAATTTCAATAACACCTTAAGACCTTTTTCTATAATTTAGACACTTTTGTTCTATTTATTAAATCTGTCAAGTGTGCGGTTTTTTTTGTTTTTGTTTTTTTGTTATTGATCGATTTAATATCCCCCTTTTGAGTATAGGATTAGCTGGATAAAAACAGACTACAGATGCTGGAATTATTTTGCTAAACTAGCTGATCACAAGTTACTAAAACACAATCTTATAAATGATATTTGCTACATGCGGCATGAATACCTCAACATCCGTTGAAACAGGATTACCAAACTGCCGCTGTAATTTATGGATTGCATGAGATGTACCAAAATGATCCATTTATTAATTACTCATACAATGCACTTGCTTAATGATGGTCAAATTAGGATGGTTGTTTTCAAAAAAAGTTGGGTTTATAACCAATCACTTGGGGATAAATGAAACATTACAGTTCAGCTTCCCAGTTTGAGCAATCTTATGAGTTTTGGCTTTATGTTCACACAGGATAAAACCTGGAAAATTGTTGAAGGACTCAAGATTGACGACTTCTCTCGTGAGAAGATGGATTTAACGGCCAAAGAGCTCTTAGAAGAAAAGGAGACTGCATTTGAATTTCTTTCTAGTGCGTGACTAACAACCGATCAAACCTTGCACTTAGATGAAAAAGTAAAGAGTTGTCTTTAGTTAAACATGCTATTTATGTCAAGTGAAACAACTTGATTGTCACAAGTAACTCCATTTTTTTTGTAATGTGACTAGCATTATAAATCCAGTAGTGAATAAAAAAAAAATAACCTTGTTGGGTTTTTACGTTCTTCACCTGTGATTCGGTTTGTCAGGCTATTCAGAAGAGCCAATTGTATTCTGCATTGGAAAAGTGATTTACTTACAAACATGCTATATTATGTTAAATTACACAGTATTCTTGACAACCAATATTAATCTGTTCTACAACTTTGTCACTTGGTCAAACATAATAAGCACAGGCTGGCTTGGCTTGTTCTGTTCCTGAGTGGAAATACATCATTTGCGTTCAGAGCCCTGAAAAGCGGCTGACATTTGCCCATACTCTTCTTGTGATGGGTACATATGCATTCATACAGCTCCATGCATGGTGTATAATGTACAGGAACCAGGCACTTTGCACCCACACTGCATGCTGGGAGAGATGGCGAGTTATTGGTCCCAGTTCAGTAGAATTACAGTGAATACTCGATCCATCAGGATATGGTCTATAAAGTTATAATTTCACCATCACCAGTGGTCTGGTGGCAGGTTTACTGTAATGGTATCTTCAAACCCACAAAGATCATTACAGTTGACATGTTGCAAGGTCCACCTGTGCTGTTGGAATAAGTGACAAATGTGAAGTTTGGCATTCTCATTGCATGTAGTTCTTAAAGGGTAATTTCAGACCCCTAAACAATGTAAGCTTGCTGAAAAGCTTTGTGTGAAGTGTGGGTTTTTTTTCCTTTCTCTTCATTTTGCAAAAGGTGCAAATTTTAATAGAAACTGACACTTTTATAATGTAACCTGGCTACAACCCCCTGGCTTTCAAGCAGACAACCGATAATGATGTTACTTACTGGTTTCATTACTCAATGCAGCTGACCTCTGGAGGCAGCAATTGCCTGTAGCATTTGACTTTGATATTTTTTTTATTTTATTTTTTTATTGAGCTGTATTGGGAAGTCTGATTTGGACAACCACAGAAAGTTTGGTTGGGGTTAGAAAGGGAGAACTTGCAAACGCAACAGACAAGAGAACTGCAGGTTTTGCAAGCTGATTTTCAGATATATCCCTATTTGAAAGAAATGCATGCAAGTTTTCATTTTGGGGTAGATCTACTAAACAGTTAAAAATTAGTTATGTATTTGTGCAGCGGAGTGTCCCTTTAAGTAAAAAACATGGCGTACTCTATATTCAAGCCAAACCAACCGTGCATTTCCCAGCTAGCCCGCCATCGAGTAAAGCCACAATCCTTGGCAGCACTATAATTCAGCCCTCTTCCCCTTTCTCACAAGTTGCACAAAACTCTTACTAGTCAGGGGGTGACTTTACACAGGAGAGGAATCTTCATACTTTTTTTGTGTGGAAACTGCATAGAAAGGCCTTGTGTATAAATTCTACTTCACTAAAATTAAGTGGTTATGGTGCACATAGTGACCATTTCACAATGGTGATGGTGGCATCCTCAGGTTGTGAGGAGATGCATAACGTTTATTCCTTAGTCACTCTTGAGAAAGTCTACAGCGGAAGTTAAACGGTTTCCTTTTTACACACAACAAAACGTGGGAAATCTGCAAGCCCTGACTTTGCTGTAATTTGACCAACCATTCAAGCCCCAACTGGCACATACAAATCCATGCTCTAACTTCTAAGAGAAGTCCAGATTATGAAGACAACCATACCCTAACCAAACATCAAGACTTGGTGTTCCAGCAAGATGGCTCCAGCATCACTGTTCGATCATTCGTCACGTACCGTAATGACTCTGCTGCCATATACCTGAAGTGGGTTGAGCTATTTTAGTAAATTAGACTGTGAGTTTTGGCTCTATGAAAGTTGCACCGCCATGGTTTTTAGCAGTTACCCATTCCTGGCCTATAGATTTCTTACTGTGCAGTTTTGATTGTCCACCTCTCTTTTCAGTAGTGTAAAGCTACTTTTAACCCTCTTAGGCATAATATCTCAGTAGAGACCTTATTTTGACCACATTTGTTATGCATGTACGTTCTTACATTATACAAAATATTCAGGTAACATAAATACGACATAATAGCTATGGGGGAATATATAATGCCATCTTGTGGTTCCAGAGGCAATCATAGACCAACTAGTAGTGTGCTCTCAATATGTCTACAACTGTTGACAGTACTCTGCCATCTAGTGGACATTTTGTGTTTGGTCTGCTCTAGGAAAAACAAGTCATAGGATTATTAGGTAACTTGGATTTGCCTATAATGTAATTTGAATTAAAGCATTTAATGTTTAAGTTGCCTGAAGTATTTCAGCCTGCCAGAGTTCAGCGACGGTGGCACATACTGTGCCTTGGGGACAATATGCAGTTTTAACATTTTTATTCCATGTGATCTATTATTATGGTTACTTAATTTCACACGTAGAGTTGTCGACAATGGATCACCCGAGGAGCAGTCTACACAGGGCCCAAAGTATCTCACACCCTTACTTCCTTGTGTGTTGGTCAATATATCTTTATCTCAGGACTCCTATCAGTTATTTGTTTCATATTTACACTAACCTACTGATTAATGTGTGTGTGTTGGGCTGTTTGACAGTAGTAAGTTATTAGTGGCCATTTCAGGGTATCCCTGTATTAGGTTGCTTATTTTCAGTGAGACACAAGTACAATTTTTCCTGTTCACCTATTTTGGTTGGCGTTTTTAAATATTCTTTAAATTTGTTTTACAAACTAACCCTGTATGTGTTTTAATCTGGTTTAGCATGTTGCGACTGTTTTTTAGTAAATAGTATATATTATATAATTATTATATTGTATTCCGAAGACGCTTAACAGCTAAACTCCAAAATGCAGTAAATCAAAATTCTATCTAAAATAGCCAAGCTGTGAGCAGCAATTCTCTCTCTCCCCAAAGGTCACCATATTTTGAAGGTACACTCCAAGCACCATAACTGCTGTCATTCCTCTGTGCTTGATCTCTTCCCCTGTAGCAGTCACACCCCCACCCTGAGAAAAATACAATATTTTTTCCCCTTTTCATACTGTACAGCGTACACTGAACTTTTATTCACATATTCAAGTATAGTGATGCCCATAGGCTCAAGTCATGGATTGGATTTACTTGTTACTTAATTGCATTATCTCTGTGATGCCTGTTAAGGCAAGCTGCTTACTGCTTTATTTCTGTTAAGGTGATCAAAATTTCTCCACATGACTTAAACTTGTGATATTTAAAACTATATGTGTGGGGTTTTTTTTGGTTTTTTTATATATATATATATATATATATATATATATATATATATATATATATAAACTATAGGGCTTGTCTGGATTGCACTATTGCCATCAGGTTTTTCTTTTTGTTTTGTTTTTTTCTTCAATGTTTACATTTTTATTAAAGTTTTCACACACACAAAAGAAAGGCAGGCATGTTTCACAATCATTTGTCACACATAGCTCAAAGTTGACCAGAGTACATTGTGACATGCTGAGTATATCCATATAAACATTTGCATAGCCATTGACAATCTATACAGTGACAAAGGCATAAAACCGGAGTTGACCTTTAACATTTTTTTAGCAGTTGCCCATTCCTGGCCGGTGAATTTCTTACTGTGTGCAGTTTTGATTGTCCACATCTCCTTTTTGCAGTGCGAAGCTACTTTAAGCCTCTTAGGTATAATATCTCACTAGAGACTTTTCTTTGACCACATTTGTTATGCTGTTATGCATGTGCTGTCTTACATTATACAATATATTCAAGTAAGCAAAAAAATAATGATACTGACATAGAGGTGAGTGTTATACTGCATTCTATATCTCCCTCAGCAGCCAAAAAAATAAAACTACATTCACATAGTAACCAGGACAACCAATCAGAATTACTCTAATCCGATAAAAGGCAGGACCAAGGTAACCACTTCTTCTTTCTTGTGAAAACACGTTAAAACGTGAACAAAGAAGGGAGCGTGACTTAGGCAGCAAATAGAGCAGTTGCATGGCTCCTGTTCTCCGGCTCAACATTTTTCACCTGCTAAAAACACAAGTTCCCTCTCTTAACACTTCCCAAAAGGTATGGGGAAGAGAAACAAGAAACTCAAAGCCCTATCAGGATGAGGGATCTCTCTAGACCAGTGGTTCCCAACCCAGTCCTCAAGTACCCCGTAGCAATCCAGTATTTAGGGATTACCCAGTTGTATCTAAGGTGTCTTTAAAAAGAAAGAAAAACAATTTAGACACAACAGAATAATCCCTAAATCCTGAACTGTTAGGGGGTACTTGAGGACTGTGTTGGAAACCCATGCTCTACACTGTAAGCTCGTTGGAACAGGGTCCTCTTCAACCAGTTGTTCCGGTAAGTTTTTGTAACTGTTTAATTTATTGTTAAATCTCCTCCTCTGATAATATTGTAAAGTGCTAATGAATATGCTAGCACTATATAAATAACAATAATAATAATAATAATAATAATAAAAAACATTGGTGCTCTGCTGCAGCGGGGACCTAGGCCCAAGATGGTGTCGCGGCAGGAGCCTCATACCTCTGTTCTCTCAGAGGAGAAACTACTCAACACCCCATACTGCTACAACAGTTACAGGGGGACTCAATACTCCTCGGTCCACTGAAGACCTCAACACCCCAGCCACCAAAGGAGATATACTGGATCTGATGAAGAAAATTAGAGCATTGTTTAATTCAGACATAGACATGGTGAGGTAACAAATGTTACTGCAGTGACGTCCAGGATTCAAGTGGTTGAAGCGGATATCTCTTCTATGGCCCAATGACAGCTGTGAACTACAGAAAAAAAATTGCGAAACTACAGGGTCTTTGTATGTGGCCCATAGTCCTTGAGCAGGAGGCTAGCAAGCAGGCTCCTCCAGGAGTTTGTGACAAATGTCCAGGGTAAGGCGCATTTGTCACATATTAAGGAGCGTTTGTCACATAGACAAACCCCTTGACTTCTTGAGAAGGTGACTACTGGCTTCATGAGCTTGTTGAAGCACCTCCTCCCTTTTCGGGGACCAGAGAGAGATTGCTCATGAAACCTGGAATATGGGCTTGATTTTTATGATGGCTTCATTGCACACCAACTCTTGTATATCCTTGAAGACAAGGTCCACGTCTTTTGGGAATAACACTATTTCCCTTGGGAAAGCACTGGGTAGGCAGAGATAGGAAGTCTATGAAATAACTGGTTACTGCTTGGAGAAGCCTAGCATCTGAGGTAATAAGGGATCACACATGGGAAAAAGGTTGGATCTGCCACCACTGTCCTTTCTCGCCTTGACTACTGTAATCTGCTTCTCTGTGGTCTTACATGCTCCCAACTTGCGCCATTATAGTCCATTATGAATGCGGGGTGAGGCTCAACTTCCTATCTGCCCGCACCTCCCACGCCCTTCTGTCAGTCCCTACATTGGCTTCCTATAAGATATAGAGCTCAATTTAAAATTCTGGTTATTGCTTTCAAATCTCTACATAATGCTGCTCTGACCTATCTATCCTCCTAAGTATGTCCTCTCTAGGCACTGACGATCTGCTGAAGACGTCTATCTTCTGTCTGTACTCTCACCTCTGATGCTTGCCTTCAAGATTTCTCAAGGGCTGCACCGTTCCTGTGGAACTCGCTTCCCTCCTCTGTTAGATGCTCACCCAGTCTCCACTCCTTCAAAAAATCGTTAAAAACCCACTTCTTTAGAAAGCGTATCAATTAAACTGTTAATAGCTCCCGACTGATTCCTCTTCTGCAACTGTCACTAGTCTAATACTATCCTTACCTTTTGTGTCACTTTTCCCCACTCCCTCTTGCATGTAAGCTCATTGAGCAGGGCCCTCAACCCCTCTGTTCCTGTGTGTCCAACTTGTCTCGTTACAACCACGTCTGTTTGTCCACCCATTGTAATGCGCTGCGGAATTTGATGGCGCTATATAAATAACATAATGATAATAATAATAATTATAATTAGGGCAGAATGGTGTTAGGAGGAACTTACCATAAGGTCATTGTCCAGAAGTAGTACCTCATGTGCCTCTTAAGGCCCAGGGTCGACTATGTTATGGGAAGAAGTCCAGTGTGGCTCTCTGGTCATGAACAGCAGGTCTGTCTGTATAAGAGCCTTAATTCTGATGTTGAGAACCTTGTGGGAAGCAGCCAGAAAGTCAGCTTCTAGCCCAGCAAAGATATTTCTGGATGGAAAACTTCCTCATATTTGCTTGTTGTGGGTCACCTTTTCTAAAGCCCACATGCAAAGCTATACATCGCGCCACATGTTCTGAAGGGGTCTATTCTGACTGTCGTGAATGATGTAGGTTATCACAGGGGTTCACCCTATGGATCCAGGATTTTACCATCGTCCCCAGATATAGGCCGGATCACATCAGTGCCAGATGCCTTCTAGACAATAGTATTGTAAGAGGGGACGTGTCCCAATCAGTTTGTGGCTCCGAATATGTGAAAATTGTCACTGTAAAGGTACATTTTAAAGAATAATTTAATCTTAAACTGGATAAAATCTATTTGCAGTACATTTTACCCAATGCAGGCATGCATTTTTCCCACTCTGATGTCATAACCCTAGGAGAGAAGAGGAGGCAGTAAAACATGAAAACTGTAGCATGGTTCTCTGGGGCCTGGATTTCAAACTGATAAATGGGTTCTATAGATAGATACGCAGGAATATTAACTATTTCACATTTTAATCACAGCTTAGCCAATGATCTTTTCACAGCCCTCACCTACACTAACAAACCCAAATAAAAGGCAAAAAAAGGCAGTGGATTCGTGATTGAGCACAGTGAAATTATTTTTTCAAAAACTCAAGGTTATTCACTTAAGGGAAATTATTGGGAATCCAATGAAAATCTCAAATTGTAGGCCAAAGAGTTTAATTAAAAACATACCGGTAGCTCACTTTTAGATTTGTTTTGGTTTGGCCTTTTTTTAGCCTAAAAGTAATTAATTCCTGCTAATTCATACATGATCAGAGTAGAACACTAACATTTGGACTGATGCATTGAGCAGATCTGCCCTGTGCTCCAGTTAATCAGTGTCCACACTTAAAGGACCACTATAGGCACCCAGACCACTTCAGCTCAATTAAGTGGTCTGGGTGCCAGGTCCATCTAGGATTAACCCTGCCTGCTGTAAACAACTGCTATGTTTACAAATGGGTTAATCTAGCCTCTAGTGGCTGTCTCATTGACAGCCGCTAGAGGCGCTTTCGCGCTTCTCACTGTGATTTTCAAAGTGAGAAGACGGCAGCGTCCATTGGAAAGCATTGAGAAGGAGGAGGAGAGTCCCCAGCGCCGAGGGAGCCCGGTGCTGGAGAAAGGTGAGTGTTTAACCCCTTCCTCTCCATCCAGCCCGCAGTGAGTGGGACCCTGAGTGTGGGGGCACCCTCAGGGCACTATAGTGCCAGGAAAACAAGTTTGTTTTCCTGGCACTATAATGGTCCTTTAAAGCAATGATCTGCCTTCACTTTCATATGAAATAAGTGTAAGGGTCCTAATTAGGGTCCCGTCTGCCATTTGTCTCAGACTCTTAAAGATGTATGCCTTTAGTTGCCAGTTTATAAATTATTCTGACAAAATAAAATGTTGAAATGTGTTGTTTGATACTGTGGTAAAGTACAAAACCACACATAGGAAGAATTCACTAAAAATGCTTATTCCATATTTTGCATAGGATTGCATTATCCAGTAGGAAATGAGGTCGTGCACAGGGTCTGTTTAAGATCCGATGAGTAAGGTAGTCCTAAGGCATTTCTTCTGAAATCTTTTGCCATGAACAGATTAAACAGAACATAGAGATGATATAATGTAACAAACAGGAAATAGCAATTCCGCTGGACAAGCAGTCTGCTGTGGTCTGGGTTTTAGCATTGTATTTCTGGTTGAATTATACCAGAAGGGGACGACAATGTACCAGACAGGAAAATCTAACCATCGAACAAACCATCAAAGAAATCTGCAGAGAAAGGAGTTAAGTAGATCATGTTAAGCTTTTTGCCTGCAAGATAAATGGATATGCCAAAGGAATTATTCACCAACAGGCCTATTTACTAAAGTAAGAAGTCAAAGTTACATTTAAAGTTGAAGGATTGCTCCAAGTACCATCATCAGTGTTTTAAAGTGGTCATGGTGCCTGGAGTCTGTATGTGGCTAATGTCAATTCTTTGTCTCATGGTGCCTGGAGTCTGTATGTGGCTGATGTCAATTCTTGGTCTATTTACAAAATGTCATTAATTTGCTGTAAGCAATCAGCTGTCAGGATTGGGATCTGGCTATTGCAGCATAGCTAACGCTGGCTGTAGTGGTTATGGTGGGTGGAGTAACCCTTTAATGCCAAAGTTAAACTGAAAGCACAGCTGACTTAAAGATTTTTTCCAGTTCAGCCATTTTGATTTAAAATGTGAAATTTACATTAAATTCTCACTTTAGCAAATAACCACGTAAATGATAAATTTCAGCAACCTAAAAGTAAATAGCCAATCTCCTCGCTCCTTAGACCCCGGAGCAGCTCAGCGACACTCATACTCCTACCCCCCTTACTCCCCATGACCAGCAGGGGACAGAGTGCTCCACACGACAAACGGCCTAAGCACTGTCCACACTACGCACCCAAGATGGCGTCTGCTCCACCACCAGACGAACATAACCTACATGTGCCCCAGAGGCTATGCAGCATCTGCATAGAACTCACCCTGCATCGCCTGGATGCCGTCTTCCAAAACTTCTGGCTGCGGCTTAAAGAACGCACCCAAGCTGCAGTGGCAGAGCAGCAAAGGGTCGCAGACAGCAGCAAACCGCCGACACGGAAGCTACCCCCTCCAGGCGATACTGCCAAACAAGCACCAAACCATAGAGGCAACCGCACACCCACACTGAGGGTCCCTCGACGCCCCTACACTACGCACCCACCGATGCTGAGACGGACCACTCACCGAAATCGGCGCATCACAGCCAGACCCACTGCTATCCCCATGAGCAGGGCAATCTCGCACCCGAAGCAGACCACGACCCTAACACAGGGCACACCAGCGAGCACATGGACCTGCGACAACAAGCACAGCCCAACCCGCAACACTGAGGCTCCCTGGGACTCCCCTGAAGGGACCCTTCACCTGCCGATTATGGGTGTCGGATGATTTTTGCTGCCTCACTGAGAGACAGCCTGCAGCCAAGCCGCCACACCCATGCAGATCTAGTGGACACTGTTTGGTTTTATTTTAATTTTACTTTGATTAGACCGCTCACATTTAAGCTTAGAGCGCTAGGTAGCAGGTGTACAATGCGCTGCTTAGTTCATACCCTTTACTCTTTGTACTCTAATCTCTTTTACTCAAGATGGCAAAGTAGTGATAGTTATCTGGAAGAGCTTTCTAAGGAATTCAACCCAGCATTGTCCTATAGCTAATCAGGAAGGGTCAGCCTGTTTCCCACTATGAGCATGATATATTCAACATAGCTCACAGTTAACAGAGTGTTTGCCTTTATGATGTCTCTGCAGTTTGACATAACATAATTTAACTACCAAGCTACGAACCAAAGATAACACAGTTTACTCTTACAATAGTTAAAGCCTGTTTATTAACCTTCATAAAAATGTGCAAGTTATATTGATGACCTAAAAGTGATTGTATCCTTTGTAAACTCTGGCTTGTTACCTGCTTTTGGGGTGGAACAAGCATGTATGTAACACTATGCACAGTAAAAAGAAAGAATAATAAAAAGTAAATAGCAACATTCAAGCTTAAATATCTAAGCTGTTACTGTAGCTGTTTCCCAATTATCTATTTTTGTCTCAGTTTTGCCATTTGGGTTTAATTCGTTAGAATTCAATACTCTGCAAACGCTGTATAAAAAGTTAATGCAGCTTCATCAGTTAACCAGCAGAGGGCTCTGTATACAGAAATCAACAAAAAACAGATGTCTTTTCTAGTGTCCTTTATATTGTTAGCAAAATAAAACACCAAGCAAAAATACAAACGGTGATAAATAATATATAACCTACAGAATCTTGCATAACAGTTAAAATAACGGCTCCTTTTTTATTTTAATTTTTTTAAACTTTGTTTATGTATTTAGGCTGATGAATACTATAGCCGTTGCTGCCCCCCAAAAGTTGTGGGAATTTGAGCACAGAGATTATTTCTGTGTGGTTTTAAAATGTTATATGCAAAAAAGTAATGATGTTCTAGGCCAGGCATAGACAACCTTCGTCAGTCCGGATGTTTTGGACTACACCTCCCATGCTGCTTTGCCAGCATTATGGGTGTCAGAGCATTATGGGGGATGTAGTCCACAACATCTGGAGTGCCGAAGGTTGCCTACCCAGGTAGGCACTCAAGTTCAATCTAGTGGGAAGATTTAGTGGAACAAAATCGAAACAACATTTCGGCCCACAACAGGGCCTTTGTCAAGCTTGATAACGTTTCGGCCCACAACAGGGTCTTTCTCAAGCTTCTCTGAAACTGCTATGTTTACATCTGAAGGGTTAAAACCTGGGGGATCTGGCACCCAGAACACTTCATTGAGCTGAAATGGTCTGGGTGACTATAGTGTCCCTTTAACCTTACTTCTGTATTCCTATTGTCTGCTGACCACCCTAACATTTTGACAATTTGAAATAATTATTCTCATATTTGGTTCCCTGATTTTAAATCATCCCTATTTTTGAGATCTCTTGTCGTTTGTTTGGTATTCTATTTCTGCCTCTTTGCAGTTACCTAAATAGTGTTAAGATGGCCCCTTCCAAGGACCAGTAATACATTTACTTTAATCGCTGCACCATTTTCTGCGTTTAGGAATTTGACACAACTTGTGCCAGCCTGTATTGATACTCATTTCTGGGGAGTAGAGTGAGAAGAGGGCTAATTTTAGACATTATTAAGACCAAACTGGAGAACGAACGCAACCTGTTTGTTCCAGAGAAGTTGAACAGACAACAGGCTGTAAAGTTTGAGCCTGGCAGAAGGTCGAGGATGGCTCTAAATGTGTGGAGGTCACAAAGAGGGAACTTCCAAATACTCAAAAAACATTGGAGACTACGAAAATATAGCATATGTAGGGGGGCGGAGCTTGACCGCCACGCGGAGAGGCCGCAAGCACCCAGGGCTCCCTCCAAATGGCTGAATTTAAGCCTTCCTTGCCGCAATCCAGCCAGGCTAGACAGGCTCCACAACTACTCACCCCACGGAGTCCTTGATGGGAACAAGACTGGGACAATATAAGCACTCCGGAGGCACCAGCCAAGGCAGGTCCGACCTGCGGCCTAGCAGTTGATGCGGGGCTGGGGTTTCGGCCGGTCTTCCAGCACCGAAGTCCTGCAGATGCAGAATCTCCTCCCCCCCCTTGGACCGTCGGGGGTCATCGCGGTCCACCACGGCGCGTTCACGAGCATGGGCATACCAGTACAGGCCCTGTTGGACGGCCACAGGCAGGTGGAAGCAACAACACCCCGCTCACTTAAGATGGCGGCAGTCTACAACACGACAAACCCCACAGGCAACACGGCCTCACACACCAGGGATGCCAATGACTGTGCGAATGGCGGGAAAGGATAGTGGCAGCAACCCCACAGAGGACATAGCCCTGGGGGAGACAAAGTGGAGGAGAAAGCCCCAAAGCATGCGATGACAAGAGGCCTTATCCACTCCCTCAGGCACCAAATGACGCCACACAGACAGTAATGGCAGCCACGTGACCCGGTGGCATCCAGCCCCGGCCCCTTCCTAGCCACAACGTGGGACTATCAGAGACAGCCACAAACAATGGCGAAGACTCACCCTGGGACTAATACCTAACTTGAAGAACATTCTCAGCTCCTTATCCAGTCGTATGCCGCCTTTGCTCTAGCCACCAGGAGTCACCAAGCGGGCAGCTGATCCAAATCCTGTGCATCAACACCTGCAGTCTCCAGCGCAGGCATCAGCCAACCCCACAGGGCCTGACCGGCTCTACCACACACAGACCGCTCCGGGGTGTACATTATGTGGACTCTCCATATGACTTAAGCGTTACAATGTTTTACAATGCATACTCACTAATTGCATGCTTAAACTTGCTAATCTATATAATCAGGCAACCTAGCCTGTAACACTATCGACACTGCTACGTTTAGACTAATCTTGTTCAAAAGCTTTACAATGCTCAACCTGCATGGCTAATGTTGCAAGGTTATATTATTTATTCCTCTCTGACACCAGCTGAAGTTTATATATTCTTGCTAGCCTAAGTTTTCTCTGTCCTTTTTCATTATTTAATTTCACATTATTTTAGCTGGCATTAAGTTTCCCATGCCTGCATCATTATAATTAAGCTGTATCCTTTATATCGCCCAGCTGGCAGCCATAGCATACATGTAAAAAGGCCTCATATGTTACTAAGCCTACCTACGCTGCAGCAAGCATGTGTACTTATATAGAATATTAGACAATGACTACACTAGGCTTAACCAACATGTTTAACGCTCTTTATGTCCACTTGCAATTAGGGCACAGCAGGTTGGCATGTTACTACATACTCAGCAGTGAAATAGTCTAACCGCACTAGCTTGATCTACGAATTAGCATTTTGATACAACATTTATTTTACTGTTACAAGCGTTGCCTCAGTATTGTTATAATGAAGATTTATAGTTTGCATAAGCGAGAATCTACACTGTTGAAATAATCTTAATAACTTAAAAAATGTGCCTGACTAACGTATATCACGACTTGTATTGCAAATGTTTTCCAACTTACCCTGATATCGCTGTTGTGGCGCACCAGGGCTACCTGTTACTTTTGTGCACAACAAAAATAACGAATTTAAAGTGTAAAAAAAACCAAAACACAAATATAGTATATGTAAAGACTGAAAATATTCATCATCACTCTGCTAATGTAACCTCTGATATAACGGCCGAGATCCCTGCTGCAGTTCAGTACACACAATATTCACACAATTCCGCGATAAACCGGACAGTGCAGTATGTATCAGCATGATTATCATTCTATTCTATAGGGTCAGCTATTTATGTGCTCAGTTTGACAAATCAAACAATCCGATACAGATCAGATAGAGTGGGCTGATTCACAAGATTCCAATCTAAACAGCCATGTGTGATTGGTGGATGTATTGCTATATACAAACACTGTACTTGCTCCCCTTGGAATGACCTTGCAGTGGTCAGGCTCCCTCCCACTGTCACAAGCAGAGGTCATGGCTGCTTTGTCCTACAGATCAGTTACATCCCTAGTAACAGCTGCTCTGTTTTGCTAAATGTAGAGCCGACTGCTGAGAAATTGTAAAGCCCAGGACTGGATTATATAGACATTATCTCATTGTCTACTTTATTAAACCACAGCTGCCACCCTCAGTGCTGCAATTTACCAGTTTTTATATTCGTTACTGCCCAATTACTAATCTTATGTCAAGTGATTCATCGTATCCGTTTGTTAGAACATTTCCTACATTTAAAAGGCAAATTAAAAAAATTAAAATGCCTATATTTCTCTGTAGCATGGGTAAGTAATTCATATTAGGACAACGCATTCTGCTGTGAAGTGTAATGCCCATCACACTCAGCCAGCATCAGTTCAGGCGGGCAGAGTGCCAAGAGGCCCATAAAATTAACTTAGAATAAATGTTTGTGTCTGGTTTTTATCATTTCCAGGAGAAAATTCTAACTTTTTAATCTGTAGGATTAATTTCCAGAAGTTCCTTTGATTTGGTCACATTTTGTCTATGACTAACATGTAGCTAAATTGACCACAATATACCTGTATGTTTTGTTTGTCAGTTATACAGAGTGGTGAAATATGGTAAATAACGCAAGAATATTAAATTGGATTTCAAAAAAATATAAGAACCAAATCTACCCTGAAGCATAAAACTGGAGAAGGGAGAGGGGTTCTTAAAAATAAACTGTGACATTCCCGGATTTTTAATATTATGCTTTCTTATCCCCTATATTTAAAGGAACACTATAGTCCCCTAAATTACTTTAGCTAAATAAAGCAGTTTTAGTGTATAGATCATTCCCCTGAAATTTCACTGCTCAATTCACTGTCATTTAGGAGTTAAATCACTTTGTTTCTGTTTATGCAACCCTAGCCACACCTCCCCTGGCTATGATTGACAGAACCTGCATGGAAAAAAACTGGTTTCACTTTCAAACAGATGTAATTTACCTTAAATAATTGTATCTCAATCTCTAAATTGAACTTTAATCACATACAGGAGGCTCTTGCAGGGTCTAGCAAGCTATTAACATAGCAGGGGATAAGAAAATCTTAATTAAACAGAACTTGCAATAAAGAAAGCCTAAATAGGGCTCTCTTTACAGGAAGTGTTTATGGAAGGCTGTGCAAGTCACATGCAGGGAGGTGTGACTACGGTTCATAAACAAAAGGATTTAACTCCTAAATGGCAGAGGATTGAGCAGTGAGGCTGCAGGGGCATGTTCTATACACCAAAACTGCTTCATTAAGCTAAAGTTGTTCAGGTGACTGTAGTGTCCGTTTTAACAAATGTGTGCTTGTAAACTTTGAAAAACAAAACTAAATGTTACCATTTACCTGTCCTGGAACTGAGTGCCTCCACCCTAGCTACTTGTCAATCATTGCAAACATTGTTTCTCTATTTATCAGTGTAATGTGTGTCTTGGCTGTGTCTGTAGGGAACTGGATTGTGATATAAATTGCTAATTCGTAAAGGAATACTCTGGGCACCAATACAACCTTAATGCATTTGATAGGGTTGGACCTCATTAATATGTTGTTTTTTTTGTATGCTGAAATATTATTATATATATTAATATGTTTTTTGCACATACAAATAAATAAATGTTTTGCAGAATGCTACATCAAAGGCTTGTCTCACCAGCCTCACCGTCTCAAGTCAGAAAGGCTTCCTTACCACTGTATGCACACAGCCTCAGCCATTACAGCATTGAGTGAGCTGCTTTTAATTTGCAACCTGGCTGCAGACAGTCGGAAGTAGTGATATCCATAATATATGCCTTTGTTGGTCTCCTCTCCTTCTAATACAGGTTGCTTTGCATTTCAGATGATTTAGTACCGTCAGTGAATGAGCTGTGAATACATTTTATCAGGAAGTCTTTTTCTGGAGTGAGAGGGCGTGGCTAAGGAGGCAGGCTTATGGTGCAGCATTCTACAAAACATTTTTTTGTACAAAAACTATAAAGATCTAAGCATGCAAAAAAAGACAGCATTCTAACGAGGCCAAAATATACCAAATGCATTAAATTTGTATTAGTGCCCAATATCCTTTTAAACTACATAAAAAATAATATCCTTTTTAAAAAGTTAACACAATTTAATGTTGTATGTTTCAAATTAACGTTCCTCTTATAAATCCTTAATCCCTGGCTCAGAATCCAAAACCTAGGTCCGTGTGTGTCATAAAAACACCCACATTCTAGTCTGCTCTTGGTTATTTTCAAAACCAGCCTGCCTTTTATGGTGAGTTGTCAATGCCAACAAATGTAACAGAGCAGACACATGCATTGCATCATTCTAGCAACACAAATCTTTGGTCCATTGTGCAAGTTGCACCTCTGACATTACTTCTGCGATAGCCACAATAAATCCCCTCTAACCTCAGGCTACAGTGCTTCGAAGTTACAGAGCTAGCCGTAGCCTGCTATTTGTTTCCCGGCTTTTAACTGCATACTTGTTTATTTGACCCTAATGCTTGTATACCATTACTGAACCTGTGCTGTTTATCCTGACCTGAGGAACATTTGTCTATGCTTTTCTCTTACTCTCTTTGGTACACTGCCTTAAAATCCACCATGCTTCTACTGACTATCCATGTTAGTGTGATGGGATTTCAACATGGTTCAAAATTTAGTAGGCCTGAAATCTCCATGTGGCATATACAAGTACAGGTGTTTGTTGTATCTGTTAGTTAGTTACATGTAGCTATGATACTGTCATCAATGTACTGAGCATGTGCAGGAATGTAGGAACTGAAATCACACTCCTTTCTCCTTTGTTTTGGATGAGCCATGTGGTCTGACCGGATGAGCAAGTCCAGACTCTGTTCATTGATTGGTTAAGGGTATGTGCGGTTGTGCTATTAATGGGAGGAGTTATAGTTCTATAAAAAGCATGTACTCCATGTATTTGTCCCTCAGATCTGTTGTGGAACATTACTCCATCTGAGACCCGATCGGTACATGAATAAAGGCCTCTTACTTCCTGAAGACTTGTGTCCATATCTCTATGTGTGGCTTCTGCGGTTTGTTCCTGTTATTCCTCCGGTAACATTAGCTGTAACAAACTACTGACACATCCTAGTACAATTCTCCAATAGGCCTCCAGGGACACTCTAAGCACCCAGACCACTTCAGCTAATTAAAGTGGTCTGGGTGCACTGTCCCTAAGGCCCTTGGTGCTGCAATGTTAAACATGTTTACATTGCAGCACTAAGTCTGCCTTCTGTGGATGTCTCCCAGACAACCACTGGAGGCACTTCTTGCATCCAAACGGACCTTTGGTCCGGTATCTGACGCTGGCCGTCCTTGCGCTCTGCATGAGGACTTCCAGCATCAGATTTGTCCCCATAGGAAAGCATTCATCCAATGCTTTCCTATGGGGAGGTTTAATGTGTGCGTGGCATTTGCCGCACATGCGCATTAGCGCCTGCTCATCGCAGGACGGAGGAGGAGGCAGAGCCGCGACCCAGCGCCGCGAGACATCGGCGCTGGGATCAGGTAAGAAAATAAAGGGTTTTTAACCCTTTATTCGCCGACTGGGAGGGGCGCGAGGGAGAGGGAATGCAGAGGAAGCTATAGTGACATGAATACAGCTTTGTATTCCTGGCATTTATAATATGCCTTGAACCTGAAACCCAGGAACTATATTTTAACCAACACCTGTGTGATATTGTGCTGACCATTTAAAGCATGAGTTATATGTATATAAAGATTTAGAACTGACCTTTCATCATCTAAAAAGGCCAAAATCAAGACATCCTTGTATTAGGGTATATGGTCAGTGGATGAAGCCGAGGAGGGGATTTCTATAAACATTTTAAGAGACATGATGGGTACTGATTTATTTGCATGTGTTTGCATAAATTCTCAACGCTAGGTAGGATAGAGAGACAGAGGAATCTTGTTCCCACAGAATGACTGTCTCTCATCGAGGGGCACTATAGAGGGATAGTGGAATGTATTTAACACTTAAAGCACAATAAGGGTGAGCCAATGTATTATATGAATCTTCTTGCAATTACAGGGTTAAATAATCACGAACGATCAGGACCTGCCTTCCCAACAGCATTCTAGTCTTAACAGCAAGATTAACAATATCTTAATCTTCAAACATATAAATAGCAGACAGATCGAAAAGAGAAAACATGGGGAGGGGCTGGAACAATTGGAGTGCCTTATGCTCAAAAAATATGTCAAATAAGATGAAATAATTATTTTACAATAAAAATAAAAAAATTAAATGAGACTAAAAATGAAACTAAAAATGACACCATTGAATATAATATCCATTTAATTACAACAGAACGACATATCTGACAGAAACAGAGAATGTTTGCTATTACATATTACAACATCCCATGACCTTTTGGGATGGTTCGAGCAGGAGGTCGTTTTCTATAAATGGCCTGTAAGGTCAGTGCAGCAGCTCCTTCAGAACATGGCGGAGGTCATATAACCCTGTACGCACTTTCACTGACCTTTTAAAGCAGTGATGACTTACCCTGCACTCCCATGTGACTGAACTACCTTTCCCATGATGCTCAGCTAGGCCTAAGGTTGATTGCGCACTCAGCAATAAGGGAAATGTACTTTAGAAAATATATCCAGGGCCAAACATGTTTAGTGTATGGTAATCATTCACTTGCAAGATATAATAACTTATTTGGTTTTATTTTTCTTCCTTCTATATGTCCCACAATTGGAAGTCATTGTATCAGGACATTTTATATACACAATAATTAATTATATCTCTGTAATATAAGTACTACCTATAATAAATTGCTTGTGCTGTGTGCACCTCTTTACAGGTGGAATTATAAAAGCATATTTCACGCGTTTGACTCATTTCTTGTGTTCTCTTAGAAGGTTATTTGCGAACGTGAGAATTTAAAGCGAACGTCAAATTATAAGGTCAAAATTGCTGAATTGGTACAATTCTCTAAGTCAGCTATGCTTTTATTTTGGCTACTTTGGCATTAAATTTAAAATAAACCTGTTAGTCTATTATTTTATCATAATTTGCAATAATGTCTTTGATAGTTTTTTTGCGTTATTTATTTTTGTCTTTACACTACAGGAGTGCTGGCCTGAATTGTTTTGGCCAAGAATTAATGCATGAGATTGTTTGAAGCATGGCCTTTGTTCACGTTCCGTATTTGCTTTGCTAACCTCCCACTGGCAATGACAGGGTTAAGCCATTTCCCAGAAGTTGAGACATTTGAGCTGCCTGGGCAGATTTAGCTTTACACTGGAGCACTGACCTTTACATTAGAACGTTCATATGCATACCGAATTTTCATAAAGTATATTAACCCTGTAATGGACAGTGCTAACCCCTCATACTAGCAATTACAGGGTTATTCATAAAAGTATGAAATGTCAGAAATTCTAATTCAAAGTCAATTTAAAATTTCATGTTAAAATATCTGAAATGGATGAATTCAACTGTGGGTTGAAGTTGCAGTGCAGGGATAGTGGATGAGATTTTAAGACTTTCAATGCGATTAGAAATATTTGTTACCAATAAGAGCGTCTTATAGTCATAATATAGTCAATACAAATCATTTGTGTACACAAGCCATACATATAAAGTTAAGTAATGTATGTATCAGTATCAGTCATTTTAGTAAGAATGTGGTAAACCAGGGGTGCCCAAATGGTAGATCCCCAGATGTTGTTGAACTATAACCCCCTATGATGCTTTGCGTGCCTTTATCATGCTTTTAGAATGACAAGGCATCTCGGAAGCTGTAGTTGGGAACCCCTGAGATACACTAAAGATATATAGATATATCTTTAAAGAAATACTAAAAAAATATATAAAGTCACAACCATCAACAATGTGTGAGTAACTACAGCACCAAGTTGGGTTTATGGTCAAGAATAAAAGTAAAGTTATATATATTCTATAGGTATACAATATCAGCGGCACACAACTGCCTGATAGCCGTATTAGTTGGTGGTCATTAACAGAGTAAACAAAAGAACAGTAACAGAGTTAGACTAGGTAAGGTATAAAGAGTTAACATAAGAAGTAGAAAGAAAAGGGAGGAGGGAGAAAAAGATAAAGAATGTGGAAGGAGGGAGGGGGAGCATAAGCAAGCAATCCCCACAACACTGGGGAGTAGAAGATGGGGCCAAGTACGGGATATAAAGTTTTTTCTTGGGATTGGTTCTTTCCCTCAATCACTAGGCAAGTAGTAACATTTGGGCAAACTATTGTACAGAGAGAGATGGGTTTGACAATAATTTAGAGTGAAATTGTGAATCTAGGTCAAGCACAGCCTTCTAAAAGGGCTCAGTTTCACTAAATTTCCACAGGTATGTTAGTAGATCCCATAAAGTCTTCCCCCCTTCAGACACATTCCCATGTACCATTTAGAGATTCCATCTGGATAGGGTCTTCTACTAGCGTAGATTTCTTTGAAGAGAATCCAAGACCTGATTTTAAAGGAATTCTTACTCATGGCATTCAACTCAGATTGAGACCAGGAGCAACTTAAATCTTGCTCCCAGGGCATAGAAAGAGCTTGACGTAAAGTGGGGAGTACAAGAAAAGAAATACCCAAGCACACCTGAGGTTTCTTCTAAAAAGCAGTTTATTTTATTTGAAACGTGTGTGCATTATGCTCTTGGGTGTGTTGTTGTTTTTTTGTTTTTTTTTGCAAAGTGGGGAGTTGACCATCTGAGAAATGGTCAATACAGGGAACCCAAGTATAGCTGGTGTGGGATCACAGTGGTTTAGGAGCACTCTCAGGTTGGATCCTGTCAATGGTATGTAAATAAGCAAAGTGGGTGGTTGATATTGGAATAAAGGACATCCCGTAGTGGTCAGTTTATTTAAGATCTGAAAGGCCAAATGGGTGTTGTCACCGAAACTGTAGGCATCACATTGGACTAACAAGAAAACTTAGCTAAAAAGTCTAGCTAGCCTCCGGAAGACCAGATAAAGTAATTAAATTTGGCTGAAGAAAGCTTTAGGGAGTAGTCTGTGGTTAGGATAATTGGTCATTTGAGATGTGATAACAGAGCTAATTTACTGTAATTACCCTTAATACCCACCCAGCAGACAGTGCGGGCTTGCTGTCATTTAAAATCAAAGTTATTGAAAACTGGTCTACTATAGAATTTGGAAAATTACAGACTTCAACACAGGAATTGTATTGTTCGTTTTAACATTATTTATTTGGTAAACATTTACAAAAGGAACAGGAATAGCATAGGGCAGGTGTAGGCAACCTACGGCACTAGTGCCATGCACAGCACTCGAGGTGCCATTGCACGGCACTCAAGGCTGCTAGAGCCAAACAGGAGTCCCAGTAAAACTTCAGATATCTGCTAATAATTGTTGTTGCAGCTCCTGTCCTTGACCTGTACCTGGACGGCATGGTCCCCACTGGAACCCTGGGAAGCCACCCACACTCCTAGATATACACAGCAATGCAGAGTAACCCTCCCCTCATACAAATAATAACAGCCCACACACAAACATACACACAATCTGCACAAACGCAACACCACTAACAATCCACATACCATGCACACAACCCCACATGCAGCCTCTCACATGCATTACCCCACACAGACCCCACACATACACACACTACCAAACACACAATGTGACATATCCATCCACACACACAATTCCACAAGCAGCCCCCATATACAGCCCACATTCATATGTATCATACACAATACCATAAACTACTCATGAACATATACAATATAATAGCTCATATACGCACAAATACAACGATACAAAGCAATTACAGTATAAATAACACAAGCAGAATACGGCAGCATACACACCTCAATTTAAAAAAAATAGGACCGACACACTACGGGACATCACAATCCTATATCGGCACAGTGCTGCTAAAAGGTTGCCTACCCCTGGCATAGGGTAAGGGTGATTAAGGTTAGGAGGTAGGGAAATACCCATTACAGTTCAATATATTGCTATGAAAAAAGTCTCAAATAACAATTAAGATATTAGATAGTAGGTATAACAACATGAAATGTCTGTGCAGGACCATTGAAAATTTAAGAGATATGACCTAACAAGACCTGGAAGACCTGGAAGGTCATAACAGGGTACTGGAAATGGGGAAACAGGGAGTGAGTGTAGGGAAAGGGGGGTCCTAATCTGATGCGTAAACTGAGCGAGGGGTGTGAGGGTCACATCCATTAGGTAGCTAATAGTAAAGTTATTAATGTCAGCTTCCCAACCAAATCTAGATTAGAGCTGCATTAAGCTGAGGTTCGTGTAGGGCAAGAAGAAGATCTGAGTGAGAAAAAGGATAACTATGTAACTATGCAGGGATGTATCTTACACGAGGCAAATAAGGCATCTGCCTTGGGCGGCACTTTGCAGGGGGCAGCAAAAAAAGCCACCCCAAATTCCCAGGCAAATCCTTGTTTGCCTTGTGTCTTGGGGGCTCAAAAGCTGGCCGGCTGGCTACTTTTGAACCCCTCCGAGGTGGGCAGCGGGCAGTGAGGGAGCATGCTCACCTGAGCTCTTCCTGCTCAGCTCCCTCGCGTGCCGCTTAATGAAGCCAGGAGCCGGAATATGACGTCAGACCAGCTCCCAAGGGTGCTGAGCAGGAAGATTAAAGCTCCCTCACCACCTACTCAGCCTCTCCACCCCCTGTCTGGCCGCCCCGCAGCCCCACTGGACTGCAGGTAAGGAATCCACTCCAGCTCTCCCAAGGAGGCTGGGTGGATTTAAAATAAAATTTTTAAAATAATAATTTGTGAGTGTTGGTGGAAATGTGTGTGTGTGTCTGTGAGTGAATGTGTGTGTCTAAGTGAATGTGTGTGTCTGTGGGTGAATGTGTGTGTCTGTCAGTGAATGTGTGTATGTGTCAGTCAGTGAGTGTGTGTGTGTGCGTCTGTCAGTGAGAGTGTGCGTCTGTCAGTGAATGTGTGTGTGTGTCGATCAGTGAATGTTTGTGTGTCGGTCAGTGAGTGCATGTGTCTGTCAGTGAGAGTGTGCGTCTGTCAGTGAGTCTGCCAGTGAGTGTGAGTCTGTCAGTGTGTGTCCGAGTAATAGTGTGTGTCTGTCTATCAGTGTGTCAAATCAGTGAGTGTGTGTGTGTGTATGTCATTGTGTGTCAGTGTATTTGAGAGTGTGTGTCTGTCAATGAGTGTATGCATCTATCAGTGAGTGTGTGTGTCTGTCAGTGAGAGTGCGTCTGTCAGTCAATGTGCGGCCTTGACAGGAAGGGGTGGGGAAAATGTTAATGAGGGGGGTGCCCGAGCACCGTCCTGCCTAGGGCAGCACAAATCCTAAATACACCACTGGTTCCATGACCTAATATTGTCCCTGGCTTCTACCTGTCCATCTTGCTAACATGATTTTGTTGTTTGTGTATGACCCTGCAAACTGTGGATTAGCTGGGAAACTCTAAGCCACCGGCAGTATCATTTTGCAAACATCTCATGCTTCACCGGCTAAGTTTCATTTATGAATGTCACGCTGTTATTGAAGTTATCCCGCAGGTATCATGTAATCAAACTTTAGAACAAAAACCTTTGTCTTTCCAATCAATTAATTTCGTTCCGGACAGACGCCATGACCCAGCGAGTCATCGAGTCACTGGAAACAAAGAAATAAACTAAATCTTGGCTGCAACCTTCCTTGAACAAATGACTTTTAAATTGTCTTCAACATCTTCCTGTGGTTTATTTTCTCCTGATGGTATCAATAAATATGTCTTGCTATACGGGGGAAAGGTTTTAGGTTTCGTTTTCAGGTTTAATATTGAGTCAATATCTACAGTTCAATCCGCTCTTATGTGCTTACCCTTTTTGTATAGTAAACTTGTATATAAAACGCCAGCATTACTTCTTTCAGGGTTAACGGGTTGAACATCACATAAAAATTTTAACATTTATAAAAATGTATTCGAATTGGGCAAATTGGACATTGGATTATTCTCTGTTGGTTAGAAAAGTGTAGCAATATGTGTTCACAATCAACAAATATATATAGAGAGAGGAGACATAGCTGTTAACTATACATTATGGGAATAAAATGCGATAGATGGGTTCTGGAGGTATCTGAATAACCCACAAGACCAATGGGAACCCCTGAGGTGTTATGTTTTACTAAAGCACAAAGTACAGTGCAAGGCCTAGAGTTGGTTTAATTTTATGGCACTAGTCATTTATTGCTTCAGCTCATCTACTGATAGTGATACGGCAGAGAGGAGCATGGGAGACAATCAAACTTTCTGTCTCCTTAGCTCCCCTCCTGTCATACATTTCAACAGGAGAGGGCTGAGCAGCTGCCAATACCAACTAAGGCACAACCCCTGCTAATTTGGGGCGAACTAAGACATAAATGCAATTGTCAATTTTAATTATTCAAAATAAATTTCAAATTGTAGTCAACAATAGGTGAATTGAAAAAAATTCTAATTGGCTACAGTATGGTCCCAGTTTGGCTATTTTGGTCTAAAATGTGACCGTTCACACTTTAGTGAATAACTTTGCAGATTTTTATACATTTGGGGTCAATTCTGTGTTATTTACTAAACTGTGAATTGTTGGAAACTGAAAGGGAATGTCAAATTTTATAGCTGAATTGGAAGAAAACATCCGACTCAACTAGGATGTACTCACTATGCAGAGAAAATTTAGACTACAATATTATAGATGAAAAATGTTTCCAAATCTCCATTTTAATTTAGATTCTCTATTTAGGAGGTAAACACCACCCATTGGTGAATTCCCTGATTTATTCCTGATAATACCCAGTTTAGTTAATAACTCTGCCTGTGTCCTTTTGTGTCCATGTTGATTACTTTGTTTATAGCTGTACTTCAAAGACAATCTTTGGCCTTTAATTGTAGCTTCTAGTGTTACCATGTTCCTACATAGCACCTATCCAGCACTTGTTGTGTCTTGAAAAGCTACTTGTTTAGCACACCAATGGTGTGTCTTAAACTGACCACTCCCAAGCCAACAGTGCATCCAATTACACTGATGTATACAAATTCAAAGAGTACTAACAGGTATTCATGAAAAGGAAATATGGTTAAACTGGAAGATAGCAGGACAGTTCCTATTTGGGTCCTATCTGGGATTATGAGAGGTATGTTCTTAGAGCTTAAAGGGACATGTAAACTCCATAGCTACCACAGTCTGTTGTAGTCGTTATGGTGCCAGCATGCTTCGGCAACCATCCTTCAGTTTTGTGTCAAATTGTATTCGAGTGGATTGATACAAACTAAGTGAAAGGCCAGGCGATAGGCGCCTTGGAAACCCTTGGTTTGTGTCAAACTATTTCAAAATGTTTTACTAGCAAGTATAGAATAGAAACAATCTGTGTTGAAGAATATCTTCACGACAGCATCCTCTGTTTGTGATTTGTCCTCTGTAGAATGTGTCTGTATCGCCCTTCCAAAGAATGGCTCTTAAATCACCCTTTGCTGTCACTGGAACAAATTCTTGTAATCTTTCGTCAGTGCAGGTACCACAAAAGGTGACTTGTGAAAGCTCTGCTGGGAAACAAGGACACAAGGACAAGATTCAAATTCAAATATTTCATTCTTGAGCATGTATTATCAAAATTCTGGTCAATATATATATATAGTATTATATAAAAATAGAAAAAATGAGGGCAGCACAAACAATTGCAAATGTGCACACCAAGTGCTACAAAAAGATTTATTATCAAGGACATAAGGTACAAACATTTTGGGTTATCCCCTTTATCAATGCATGTCCCTAAAGATAAAGGGGATAAGCCAAAACGTTTGTACCTTATGTCCTTGAAAATAAATCTTTTTGTAGCACTTGGTGTGCACATTTGCAATTGTTTGTGCTGTCCTCATTTTTTCTATTTTTGTGGATTACTTTACCCTGCTTGGAGCTTCAGAGGGAGGTGTCAGCAGCACAATAGGAAACGTTTGTATTTTGATTTTCTCTGGGTACTGCAGTAACCCTTACCTAAGCTATATACTGGTCATATATAGTATTATAGTGGGATCCTAGTCAATATATACAGTATTATAGAATGATTCTCGTCAATATATAAAATATTATAATATGATCATTGTCAATATATATAGTATTATAGTATGATCATTGTCAATATATACAATATTATAGAATGATCCTAGTCAATATATACAGTATTATAGAATGATTCTGCTCAATATATACAGTATTATAGTATGATCATTGTCAATATATACAATATTATAGAATGATCCTAGTCAATATATACAATATTATAGAATGATTCTGGTCAATATATACAGTATTATAGAATGATTCTGGTCAATATATAAAATATTATAATATGATCATTGTCAATATATATAGTATTATAGTATGATCATTGTTGTCAATGTATATAGTATTATAGTATGATCCTGGTCAATATATATAGCTTTATAGTATGATCATTGTCAATATATACAGTATTATAGTATGATCCTGGTCAATGTATAAAGTATTATATTATGATCCTGGTCAATGTATAAAGGATTATAGTATGACCCTGGTCAATATATACAGTATTATAGTATGATCATTGTCAATATATACAGTATTATAGTATGATCCTGGTCAATATATACAGTATTATAGTATGATCATTGTCAATATATACAGTATTATAGTATGATCCTGGTCAATATATACAGTATTATAGTATGATCATTGTCAATATATACAGTATTATAGTATGATCCTGGTCAATATATATAGCTTTATAGTATGATCATTGTCAATATATACAGTATTATAGTATGATCCTGGTCAATGTATAAAGTATTATATTATGATCCTGGTCAATGTATAAAGGATTATAGTATGACCCTGGTCAATATATACAGTATTATAGTATGATCATTGTCAATATATACAGTATTATAGTATGATCCTGGTCAATATATATAGTATTATAGTATGATCATTGTCAATATATACAGTATTATAGTATGACCCTGGTCAATATATACAGTATTATAGTATGATCATTGTCAATATATACAGTATTATAGTATGACCCTGGTCAATATATACAGTATTATAGTATGATCCTGGTCAATATATACAGTATTATAGTATGATCATTGTCAATATATAAAATATTATACTATGATCCTGGTAAATATATATAATATTATAGTATGACCCTTGTCAATATATAAGGTAGTATGATCCTGGTCAATATATATAGTATTATATTATGATCCTGGTCAATATATATAGTATTATATTCTGATCCTAGTCAGTATATATAGTATTATAGCATGATCCTGGTCAATATATAAGGTAGTATGATCCTGGTCAATATATATAGTATTATATTATGATCCTGGTCAATATATATAGTATTATATTCTGATCCTAGTCAGTATATATAGTATTATAGTATGGTCCCAGTCAATATATAAAGTATTGTAGTATGATCCCAGTCAATATCTAGTATTATAGTATGATCCTGGTAAATATATAGTATTATAGAATGATTCTGGTCAATATATAAAGTATTGTAGTATGATCCTAGTCAAAATATATAGTATTATAGCATGATCCTGGTAGTTATTTACAGTATTGTAGTATTATCCTGGTCAATATATACAGTATTATAGAATGATCTCAGTCAATATATAAAGTATTATAGAATGATCTCCTCTACTAACCTGGTTTCTCAACTTGTGGTGCGCATACCCCATAAGCAAGAAGCAGGGAGTACGCCAGGAATAGCTGGAGCTCCAGCTCAACACAGTCCCAGAATAGGCCCTGCCATCACTCAAGTTATTATTATTATTATTGCCATTTATATAGCACCAACAGATTCCGTTGCGCTTTACAATATTATGAGAGGGGGAATGTAACTATAAATAGGACAAGTTGTGGACAGGTGTCTATTTAAGCAAATCATTGTCATACCTCCTCTTGGCCTGCGCTACTCCAAACACGCTGTCCATTATGGCGCCGTCTCTCCTCTCCCACGGTATCCTGATGTTTGCCCGACATCACGTTGTGTGTACGCAATGACCAGCTATGGGGTGTGCCCCTTTATTGTCTTTGGCCCCTTATAGGGAAAGTAACCTATTTTACATCTGGGCTAGCACTCCATTTAAAAAAAATAAAAAAATATTCTTAAGCATTGCAAGTGTACATTAACGTTTGGGCTTGCGCAGAAGCCAATACATGAATATCATTCTTGGAAAAAATGGTATACAATATAAATTTACAATACAAGCCAGTTTTGGTACTTGCCTCCCAACGAGGGATTTTATTTTGAATTCAGGCATTTTGGTTAACTAAGGAGCCCTATCTTTTTGAAGACTAAACTGTCCTTTGGGCATCCTTGTTCCTCCGACAGTTTAATCATGCCTGGGAAGAATAATAAAAAACAGTCCCTTGAAATAACCAAGGGTAGAAGAGATAAAAACAAGAAGATAGGAGGAAACATGAAATTCATAGAAAGCAGAGGAAAGATAAGGTGTAATGTCAAGAAAGATATATAGAAGAGAGAGGGGAAAAAGATAAAAGAAAGATAAAACATAAAAGATAAAAGAGGGGCGGGGGGGAAGCAGAGGGCCCCCTATAGTCGAGACCGCTAGGGAGTTTCTTCCATCGCTAGTCCGATTCCACATCACTTTCTGGTCCCTGTAGCACTCCATTTATAACTGTGCACGTTACCCTAATTGGTTCCTGGGCATATCAGCTTACACCTAGCCCTATTTATACCTTCCTTTGACATCACTTTCTTGCACTGTCATGGTCTTTGAAGCCCCAAAGTGCATTTCTTTTGTTTAGACTTTTCTAGGATCTGGCTTGTGCTTTGCTCGTCGTTTATCCGTTCTTCTGCTATCCTTAACCCTTGGCTTTGTACTATGTTTATCCTTCCGTCTCCAATCCTGTCCTTGACCTGTCTGACTATTCCATACTTTTCGCTGTACTCATATATATGTTAAGTCCAGCCACTCTAAGGCCAGTTAATACATATTGGTTTGTGTGTCGGTAAGAGCCCCTTAGTTTGCATGTTAGGGAGATTTACCTTGACAATTAGGTAGTCGCCAAATTGGTTAAACTCCTCACCTCTGGTGTGAGAGGTGCATGCATTGCCACATTCCAATCTCTCCCTGGTGGTCTTCTGACCACTCGTTGGGTCCTATAAGGTTGAGAAGGACGTGTTTGTGGGTGAGGCCAGCCTTACACTGACCTTGGCTGGTTTTACTGCAGATGCTATCCACAGCACCACACTGGTGCTTGGCGACATATTCTGTTGTTGAAGTATGACCCTAATGGAGGGATAACAGGGTAGCTTAAGCAGCGGTGATACCATGTAGGTCTCATACACTGCGCAGAAATACCACGTACACAAGAAATTGAGGATTTATTTTATTTTCAAATACATAATAAAATTAAGTTCTGTTGTCTGATTAAGTCTTCTATATTTTGCCCCAAAGGTATATGTTTGCGTGTCAGTCTCCTCTGTGCGTAAATGTGTGTGTGAGTTTCCTCTGTGTGTGTGTCAGTGTCCTCTATGTGTAACTATTGTGTGTATTATATTTTCATTTTGTGACTTTTATACTTCAGATTGGTAGTTCATACACTCCTCCTTATATACACAATATTCACATTATTATTATTTTATTATTTTATTATTTATATAGCGCCAGAAAAATTCTGTAGAGCTGTACAATGGGTTGACTAACAGACACATAATTGTAACCAGACAAATAGACGCACAGTAACAGAGGGGTTGAGGGCCCTGCTCAATGAACTTACATGCTAGAGGGAGTGGGGTATAGTGACACAAAGGGTATACGTATGGGGTAATAAAATAGGTTGCTAGAAAAGTATTCACTGGGAACATAGTAGGTTATTTTTGACAGTTGCAGGAGAGGAGCCATGGGGGGAAGGTAGGGAATGAAAATCCACTAACAGTTTAACTCATACGCTTTCCTTAAGAAGTGTGTTTTCAAAGATATTTTTTTTGTCATATTTATTATAAAAATATTATTTACTACCTTTAATCAGGCTTGTTCTCCAATATGAGATTAACTTAAATATCAGAGTCTACACGTTTCATTTGGAATTTAAATCAATAGAAATTAGGGAAGGGAACTTTTTTCTTTTTTTTAAAAATGTTTAGCCCTGTAAGGGTACATCTCCGTAAAGGCTGAGAAACACTGGTTTAGTGCAACAGTGTAAAAAAATAAATAAATGTATCGGATGTCATGAGATGCAATGTACTGTTATGAGCACAGTGTTGTTATGGCTGACATACAGATGTGAAGCAATAACTTGCCACGAACAAATGAGTACACACACAGCTCAGTCAAGCTCAGTCAGTGAATGGATAACCATTTTAAAGCGGCACTGTCATGTCGAATCTTGTTTTTTTTT